GGGGTTTAGGGTTTAGGTAGGGTGTAAGGCTTGGTGCCAGAGACGAAGCAGTGATGAGGGGGGTTTCGTAAAGGTTGTGTAGGGCTCGCAAGGGTTTTGCAAGGGTTTGATCTGTTTACATAAGGCATAATCGCAAGAGTTTTTCCGTAGTTGTAGAAGCGTTCACTAGCTGCCTCGAGGATGGAAATCCTCACCAACACCAACAACTGGAGAAACAGGCCATTCTAGGGTATCAGGGCATCAGCAACAACATTCTCGTGACAAGCCATCCACGCATAATTCAGGCAGACCAAATACACTAAATCTCGTACGTTAGGCACAGAAGGTTTGGTAATCCTTAGACCCTGACTCCTAAGGGATTGCTTTCCAGAAATGAGGGTGAAGGTCCTTGGAGGCTATGACCTTTGCAGCTGGATGCCCTGGCTTGTCAACCACATGCAAGTAAAAGCTCTGGTTCCTGGGTTCTTGATAAGGAAGTTAATGTAAGTGACCATAATAATGAAACCATATTATTTACGATAGATCCTTATTATGGTAACTTAAGCGAAATTCCTTAACAACCCAGATTAGAGTTTTCCTTATTCTTGTTGCTAGGACTACTGCCACTTCTTGCTATTCCAAGCACCCACAGTGCTCGTGTTGATGCTGTTGTGGTCCTGACGCATCATATGGCTAATGATAACTGATGATGCTGCTGGGGGTTTCATGATGATGACAAAGTGTACTTAAACCTAAGATGACGACTACCCTTCGTACGCTCATTCCGATGATGATTGTGATAAGCAACGACGAGCATGCTGGCCCTACTCTGCCACAATGATTCTGAGGTCCATGATTACCTCGCCAACCCGCAACCCCCCGTTTCGTTTTGCTGGCGCCTTGAATCCAATAGCCAATAACCCAAAACCATGAAATGACCGTGCTGATGAGGCAGATTTTGATTGTAATTCTCGTGATAGCCCGACAGCCGTAGCCTAGATTGATGAACCCTGAACCCTGAGACCTTGAGCAAAACCCCCACAGGCCAAGCCCTGAAGCCCCCAGCCCTCGGCCCCAGACTTAAATCCTAAATCCCTAAAGACCGGTGGACACAGCCAAGGCAAGAGGGCTAGCGACAGCAGCAGTGTCGGGCTTGGTGCAGGGCTTGCAGGGCTTTCGGGATTCTCGGTTTTTCGATTTGGCTCTAGGGTTTTAGGCTTCGAAGCCTTAAGGGAAAGACTTTCAGGCCTATTGGAGATGAGCTTTGGGGGCTGAACCGGTGGATTCTACTTCTGGTTTACAGGGGTGTTGGTTGGTGTTCTGGAGATCGTGTCATGGTTGCAGGCAGTGGGGCCTGGGGCCCGTTGGAGGTGCCAAGTGGCTAAAGCGGCAGCCATCGGCGTGAGGTTCCACTTCCTCCAGCCCTCAAATAAACCCCAAACCCTAAACCCTAAACCCTACGCCGCACCGAAGCCCCGCCACAGCGCCCACCGCCCCCAAAGCCCTCAACCCTGGGCCTTTGTTTACGCAACCTCAATTCCCAAAGTCCTACATCCAGCAGGGCTTCAGATTGTGAGAGCCACAAAACTTGAAACCCCGATATTCCCGCAGGGCCTGAATGTAGCCAATACTTTGGTTTCCATGTGACAGAGTATCAGACCCCGCCCCCCAGAAAAACTCCCTGTGCTTTAAGGTTTCGGGTGTAGGGTTTCAGGGATCGCGGTTCAGGGTTTGGGGGGTACCCTGCAGAGCTGAACCCGCTTTTCGAGGCTCCCGCTGCAGTTAGCCTCGAAGAGGCCGAGGCACGCAAAGAAACTCCCCAAATCCGAAGCCCTTATCCCAAGCCCAAATCCCTAAACCCCAAGCGCGGGCTTAGGATTACGGGTGACGGGTTTCGGGTTTAGGAGTGTAGGGATTTAAGGTTTAGGGCTCAGGGCTCAGGATTTTAAGGGGGCATTGTCGCTGGACTGAACTGACTCTCATTGCAGCAGGTGACCGAATTAGTCAGTTTCGCTGTTCCTGTCGAATCATCATATGTATGAATGTATGAACGTATGGGTGCTCGAATAATTAGCTCGGGTTCTGGGTTATTCTACTACGGCTATACATTACAGTGTAAACAGTAGAAGTATCAGTTTCGAGGAACTGTAAGGGAATACCACTACTAACTATTATGACCCATATATTAAGGCTGGCTGTGCAGTATGCCCAACTCTTGTTCTCACGGTTCTCACGATGGAAGCCCCAATACCTGGGTTCGATTTAGGGTTCATGGGAATCTGTACGCGGGAATGGGGATCGGCTTGGAGGCAGGAGCTGTAACATAGGGGTCGGGGAATACATGATATTCAATTTGTTTAGGTTTCTCCATATCAGGTTCAAGGGCCTTGAGAGTCTCTGCGCTGTACCCTGCACCGTTTGGAAGCCGGACACATGAGCGATGCGGTTTGGGGCTTTGGGGTTCAAGGCTTTAGGGTTCTAGGGTCGTAAAAGTTAGAGTTCAACTTTCGGAGGTGCAGGGTTCAAGGTTTCGAGTTGCAGCGTTAGGGCTTTAGGGTTGACTGTCTCCTGTCCAGAATGAAATGCCCTTGAGCCTGCTTGAAAACAGTCATGGCATTCTCAAAACCCTTTTGCATAAAACTTCTTTAACCACCAAGCAAAACCTGTACACGCCTGTAATCCCCACAACGCCCCAGAAAGCCCCCTTATGAGAAACGCCTTGGGGCCTTTTTGGGAGCTCTCCTTTCCTTCGGAGGCGCAGGAGCTGTCCGAGGTAGTCGAGCGCGTCCGCGCCGCCTTTGGGTCGCTCCTGGTCGGGGCCCCGAGTCCAGAAGGGAGTTGAAGGGTTTCACGGTTGCATAATATCTATTTGCAGGCATTTTGCATGCAGTAGAATGCCATGCACTGTGATATACTCTACTATGTCATTGTGTAGTGAAGGAGGAGGGTATCAAATAGAAGGAAATCTGGTGTGGTAGAGCGCACTCTGCAGCAAGACGTTGCAACGTTACAAAAAGCAGTGGAACACCTCTGATGCCTATGCATTTCGGGCCGAGGTGGGTGTCAACGTCCTCGACTACCAGGAGTCAACCCGCCCTTTCGTCCACCTTCCCGGCACTAGACGGTTGGACGTAGCATATCTTTCTTGCTGGGGTTTAGGATGTGACATGCTACCTGCTTCGACTTCTGCTTCGAGGTTCATGTGTAGGTGTCAGTGGAGTCAGAAGTAGATCAACTATTATCATAACCCATACTAGAGGACTTATAGCCCCACAAGTAACCACCCGTGATCCTCCAAGTATCTTTGGACATGCCCGTCAGGACTCGAGGTTTCAGGAGTTCCGGTATCTTCGTTAATAGGTCTGAATCATTAGAAGTCCGTGATAGTCTCCCTAAGCAGCCCCTGAAGCTGTGAAACAAGCCGATGTTTGCTGCACTTTTGCTGGCACAACCTGGACCACCAGATCCTCTGCGTGAAACGGGCACGGTTTTGTTGCAGGAGTAAATCAACCCCTAACTCGAACTCCAAGGGCTGTAGACCCTGAGCCTCAAGCCCCAACAAGCCCCCACACAGCTACAGTGTCAAGCCGGGAAAACCATGAATCCGAGTCTCATGTTGTCACAGTCTTGTAGGAAGTAGATTAGGGTTTGGGGTTGAGGGTTCAAGAGGGTTTAGGGTTCAGGGTTCCTATATGTGTGCAAAAATTTCAGAATCGTGGCCCGAGGATACCCCGAAACCTTCATACCAAACGCTGCACTGAGCCCGGGTTTAGGGCCCCTGAAGCCTAAACCCCCAAAACCCTTCAACACCCAAAAACCTCCTGAGGTCCCTATGCCCAAAGCCTTCTGCTTCTGCGTTGGCTCTAGACGTCGGACTTGTCCTCCCTGGGGTGCATTTAGGGGTGCTATACAGGTCCGTAGTGTTGTGATTAGTATGGGTTCTCCGAGTCTTTTGCAGGGTTTGGTAGGCTTGTGTAGGCTGCTATAATGTGGTACTGTAGTACCCTGCCTCAGTAGACATCTGTCAGAGATCGAAGCCTGAGGTTAGTTTCCAGGGTTTAGGATTTCAGAACTTTCCCCTCGCAGTCTTCGGGACCCAAAACCCTGAAGCGCCGTTTCACTGCGAAGCTCAACGGCTCCAAAAACCGGGACCTTAAGTGCGAGCTCCCAAACCTTTAGCCGCATATAGACACCAAAACACCGAAACCTTTCTAACCGTAAGCTCCGAACCCACCCCAAATGCCAATCAGGGTTTAGGGTTTAGGATTTAAGGGACTTTGGCATTAGGGTCGCTTTGAAATTGAATTCATGCCCTTGTCCGCCACGCTGGCCTGGAGCAATGCCGCACGCTTTGATCATGGCTTCTGCTCGAGCAACTGTGCGGGAGATCGTTTTGGTCTTCAGTTTTGGGATTTAGGGCCTATGCTTAAACTACAAGTGTTTCTACAAGAGCTCCTTTCAGGGTTTAGGGCTTCGGTTTTGGGATGTGGGGTTTAGGGCTCATGCTTTTGGGCTTCAGGGTTGGTGCGTAGGGTTTTGGATTCGTAAGGTTCTGGTTTAGGGTCTGGGGTTCTTTATCGGGTTTTAGGTTGGCTGCTCCAGAACGCCTGAACCCTATTTGCACTTCCGGTGTCCCAGGCAGTGAGGACAGGTGGGGGTTGCGAGGATTGAGGCGCCGTTCATCTTTGGGCTTTACGAGGCTTTACGACTTTGCAGGCTTACGTGCGGCTTTGTTGGGCCGCAGGGTTTGAGGTCGCAGAGTTTGTGTTGCTTCTCATCCTGAGACACCCTAGCCCCAACCCTCGCAGGCAAGCAAGAAATTGCGATGCAATCTTCGGACCCATGCACAGTGCCCAACAGCCCAAACCCAAACCCTACAACCCAACAACTGGAGCCGTGAACCTTCAAGGCAGAAAACGTCTGACCCTGAAAAGGCGCAATCCAAAAGGTGGCGCTATGGCATCCCGAAACCTCTATACCCGAAGCCCTAAACCCCACCCCAAACCCGAGGGGGTGGCGCCATGGCATCCCTCATCCAGATGGAAGAGACTGCGCACGCACAGGCCGAAAACACCCGGAATCAGAGAGTCGAGGGTTTAGGGAATGCCCAAGACTACTTCGTCCCTTGAAGCCATGCAAATTCAATACCCTACAGCCTGCATAAGCGCCAGAAGGCTTTCTTCAATCTCCGCTGTGGAAATTCATATAGATAGCGCTATACTTTCAGTATGTGCTCGTTGCTTCAGATGTGAACGGCGCAGCCTGTAAATCCCACCTCTTAAATCCTACTCCCCCAGAGTCCTAGAGTAGTCAACCACTCAAAGCAAAACAACCCCAAGCCCTTGTTCTAGGACCTTTCGACTTGAAAGGGTTCACGAGGACCAGCCCCTGCTACAGATATATAGGGGCCGTAATGATTACCTATAATTTATAGTATTTTGGGGGTATTATAGTATAGTATACCCCAAAAGTCCCCCCGTAAACGAACCCTATTCAAATTATTAAGGCCCCTACCTCATCGCAGGATCTGCGGCCCAACGATGAGTGCTGGGCTTTGGCCCTGTCTGCCTGGAAGCTCTCTCCTGCGATGCGCCAGGCGCGACCCGAAAGGTCATCCTGAACAAATGAAGAGTTCAATACATGGATCAACACATGCAAAAGAAACAAATACATAAACATACACACTAATGGAGCATTGAGCTGAATAAAAGCACACACACATATATAAATATAGATATAAATATAAATATAAATATAAATATAAATACAAATATAAATACAAGTATAAATACAAATATAAATATAAATATATGGTACCCCCCCCGAGTTATCCACGCTTTTTGGGGTAAATCCTGTCCATGTTGCCCTTGACCCCTCATTATTCAAGCATCTGTAGTCTGTATCCATGTACGTGCACACTCCGAGCCTTATTGCATGTGCAGTACTAACGCACGAGCACACGATGGTAGAACACATTGTCTTTGCACAACCCTGACAGACGGAGGATTGAAGTTCAATGCCGCGGATTGAACTTCAATACTCCCCCGGATCCAAGATTCAAGATTCAAGATCCTGGGGAAACTTTGTCCAGGAATCTTGAATCTTGAATCTTGGATCCGGGGGAGTATTGAAGTTCAATCCGCGGCATTGAACTTCAATACCCCGCAATCAACTTCCATGCAACTGCCTGCCAAACGTAGCCTCCTGCCTCGCAGCCTTCGCGATTCTCAGACCTGGGTTACACCTCGGGGTAGAGGGGCCCATTATACCTTAGAAGCTGCCCCCACCCTGTAATAGTGAGTATAAGGATTATATAGATTTATATTAGGGCCCTATTATATTCCTATTATACCACTATTACAGGGTGGGGGCCGCTTCTAAATTATACCATAATTCTACTAAGGAACACCAAAACAGTATAGGCAATTATTAAGGCCCCTATATTAGGGTTTTGGGGTTTAGGCTGTACTGCAGGTTTAGGGGCCACAAGGACACCGACCCAATATAGGGGCTCATGAGTAGAACAGGGTTTTGGGCTACTTTAGACGAAAACTATAACAAGGAACACCCCCAAGTAACTATAGGTTTAGGTTTACGGTTAGGGGGTTTGGAGTTCCAGGCTTTAGGGTTTATGTAGGGCTTTGGGGGCTCTAAAGGTTTAGGATTTCATTCGCGGAGGTTGCGTCTTTTTTTTTTGAGGGGGGGGGGGTTTGAAAGGAAGCATTCTACCATAGCAGCGGTTTGGGATTCAGGGTACTTACCTGGTCCTCTACTATAGGGCCCCCAAAAATTACCAAAACAATTTTATAGCATATTGGGCCCCAAAGCCCTATTCGAATTATTAAGGCCCCTATACTAAATCCGTATTATAGCCCTTATACTTTTTGTAGGCGTTATAAGCCCCTTTAACAGGATCCAAATGAAGAAACCCTATATTCTGATAATTTAAGGCCCCTGTATTAATTACAAGAGTAAGCTAGGATACCCAGTAACCTAAGAATAAAAAGGCCTCTCTTTTTGGTATTGGGTAACTTTATAAGGAACCTAGGACTACAAAAAAGGAATAAGGGTACTACTGGGCATCCTAGGTAAGGGTCTGAACCCAAAAGCCCGAGCCGGCCGAACCCTGGACCAAACACAGCCGAAGAGTCAGCTCGGGAGGTACTTAAAGGATCATGGGACTTAGTAACTACCTATAGTCTCCATTGTAGTTCCTTTTTTGGTATACCCAAATATATAATAAGGATCCTATAAGGTAACCCCAAAAAGGAACTACAATGGAGACTCCAGGTAGGGTGATAATAAAGGGCTCTTTAAAGGGGATCTATAGGGCTCCTCAAAGGGATTTATGGGGTTTAGGGTTTAGGGTCTACTTAAAAGATCATGGGACATAGTAACTAGGGTTCTAATACAGGGCTCTTTAAAGGGATCTATAGGGCTCCTCAAAGGGATTTATGGGGTTTAGGGTTTAGGGTCTACTTAAAGGATCATGGGACTTCGTAACTGGGGTTACAATACAGGGCTCTTTAAAGGGGTTCTATAGGGCTCCTCGAAGGGATTTATGGGGTTTAGGGTTTAGGGCCTGCTTAAAGGATCATGGGACTTAGTAACTAGGGGTGTAATTAGGGTAACTCTACTTACAACTACTTATAACCCCAATTAAGGTACTTATAACCACTTACTTACTACGTCCCATGATCCTTCAAGTAACCGATGGAGGGTCTCAATGCGCTGGCTAGTGAAGGCTCCGTCGATGTTGTAAAGATCTTACGCACATGATTTGCGAGGTTCGGGACTTACCTATAGTCTGCATTGTCGCTCCTTTTTTGGTTTCACCGCTTATATATTAAGGACGGTATAAGATAACACCCAAAAGGAACTACAATAAAGACTATAGGTAAGTTTTGCTTTTCGGTGCGGGGTTTAAGTTTGGGCATGGAGTGTTGTAGCTGTTGCTATCTGTGCTGTCGATGCTTGTTCAACTTCTCTGGCCTGGAAACGACATGAAAACAAGAGACTTCTGCTCGGGGGGTCAGCGTGTAAACTTACAGGAGAGAGAGAGAGAGAGAGAGAGAGAGAGAGAGAGAGAGACATGCTCCGCACCGCGGCCCGCCAAACGGACCTTTCGGTCCAAACTCCTCCCTCGCCCCCAAAACGGGTGGATAACCCGGGGGGGGGTTGGGGGGGTAGCAAATATATATATATATATATATATATATATATATATATATATATACACACACATACATATACACACACACGCACTATATACTATATGTGCATATATACATGTATATATATATATATACACACATACACATGTACATGTCTGTGTTTCTATGTGTGTATGTATTCATGTATGCGCGTATGTATGTACGTATGTACCTTAAAGAGAACTATACTAACTCATACCAGTGGCAACACTCTTTATCTAACCTCGGCATCCTTCTGCAAGTGTGCGCAGGCGAGGATACTGGAATCTCCGTATCCATCAGAGATGCCAGCACATTCCGCCTATAGCTATGCGGATCCTGTGGCGCTCGGAGAAGCATCTGTGTACGTACGTACATACGTATGTGTGTAAGGTAGGCAGGTAGGTCGGTAGGCGGCCATTTATGTATGCAGGCATGCATGCATGCAATGTATGTATATGTGGATGTATGTCCAATTGATAGAGCAGTAACCCATGTAATTAAAGTCCTGCAAAGGCCTTATCCGATGAAACTTTGCAGCCAGTACCCTAGACCGTAGGCCCTAAACCCTGTACAAGAAAACCGAAACCGTAAACCCTAAGCCCTAAACCCTAGGGACTGTCGGAGGCCTGGTCCCTGGGGCCGTTCTTGGAGCCACCGGGCGCTGTTCGTGCGGCGGTGCCAGCCGGGGACGACCAGGAAGATCTGGATAATAGTAATAACCAAACTAATGGCAATAGTGACATTGGGTTCAGGGTTTTAGGAGGGCTTTGGCATAGGGGCCTTATATAAGCTCGAATACGGTCCAGAGACTGGCCTTAAAGATTAGGGCGAATACAAGGGCCTGAGTTGGAGAAGATTCAACCCCCCTTTGTCGGGTGTTCAGAGTTTTGATCTTCGCTTTAGGATTTACTACTTGGAGCTTTGGCTCCGTGGGTTTGGAGTTTGGGGTTGCAGACGTTTGGGGCTTCGGTGTGCAGGACGGGGTTGCGCTTCAGAGGCTTCGGGATTTGAGATTTGGGGTTGAGGGGTTTAGGTTTGTGCCGTGTGTTAACACATGGGCGGCAGTATCTTGCGACCGGGCTGTGTGGATTGATTGCATCCTACTATGGTTACCATGGCGGGTCGGCCTTTCACCATCGATTGCGAGGGGTTGAAGCGCCACCCCACTACAGTAGGTGGCCTATGCCTTGAGTTTAGGATTGAGGTTTTTAGGTTTTGGGTTCAGGGTTTCAGGTGCACTGAGGAGCCCGGCGACATGAAGAGACATGTGTGCTTCAAAAGCAGCTTGTGGTAGGGGCTGCAGAAAAACGTTTTGGGGTTTTTGGGTGTTAGGGTGTACGGTTAAGGGCTTTGGGGTTTGGGGTTCAGGGTTTAGGGCTGTTAGGTTTAGGGCTGTTAATAGAGGTTTGAATGAAGAATAAAAGCATCCTTTTATCCTCCCCATAAAGTTTGGTGACCGTGCACAGATAGTATATCTAAACCCAAGTCGAAGGATCAAGGCCCCCATGTTTAGGTTTTAGGGCTGACGGAAGTTTAGGGTTTACGAGAGCACTCGGGGAGATTGGACAGAACAGCTTTCAGGGTGGATATTTCGAAAGAAAGCAGAATCACACCACATCAGTCCGAAACCATCAAGTCAGGAGGCGTATACCCCGGGCCGAGCCCACCATTTTCACCCCCCCAACCCTCAAAGCTGTTTCCACGCCCGTGTCAGCTGTTGACACCCCGCAGGGTACGGCCTCCCCCCTCTCTCCCCTCCTCCTCCCTCTGTTCTTGCAACCCTGCTCCATGCTTTTTTGACCCCTAACACGTTTTGTCAGCTCCATCTCGTTTTTTTATACTTCTCCGGCCTGCAAGCCCCTGGAGTCCTACCCTTGGGCAAAGCAAGGACTCCAATATCAGGTTTACCGAGCTCTATGTTGGGTCATCACATCTATTGTTGAGTGCGGCGTTTATGTATTTCTTGGGCTTTGCATTTAGGGTCATAGTCAAAGCCGCCTAGGTTAGGCTGAACCACAGCAAAAGCGGCAATTTCTTGAAAGCAGGTTTACGGCCTTTTTCGGCTTGGGATTTTGCTCTTTGAGCGCGTGCGGCGGCTGGGGTCTCCAACGGGCCCGAACAAGCATGTAGCTGGAACAAAAGCCTCCGCAATGCGTTGGGAACAGCAAAAACTCCCAAATCGGGTTTAGTCGGTTCGATAGGGTTTGCGCAAATGTGGAATCATGTCCATGTTCGCTGCACGCGGCATGAGGAAGTAGGCTAAGCTGGTGCCACTCCCTCCGCCGCCACGGACCGGTCTGATGGCGACACCTAGACAAGGGACGAGCTCCTGCGGAAGGGTTGACGACTAAGCCGCGCAATGCTGGCTTCAGGTTTTTTTATGTTGCTTCACGCAGTGCGCGTTCTTGTGCTTTCGGGCTTCGACGCCGTGCCGTATGATCTCCGGGCCGGCACGAACAGCTCCTTCAGTGCCTGCGAGTCCAAGCTCCTCTACCAGGCTGAAGCGTGGACTAACAAGCCATCGCTGCAGTGGCCACGCCCAGCCCTGCGCGCCTCTACTGTGTCTTTCGTGACTCCGTGTGCAGTTGTTACTGATGCCATGTTCCCATCCAGTGGAGTAACGACTCGTGCACGGTCAAAGGCATCAGCGGCTATGACCACGGTTGGCTTAAACCCAACCCATGCATTGTCGCCAACGGGACAGACTTTGTCCAGGGCTGCGTGGCCGTGCCTTGGCAACGCAGGCTTGTGCAAGCCTCCCTTGTAAAACTTTCGCTGCGCGATTGAGGTATATTGAGGTTTGGCATTACCTATGCAGCCCCGAAGACGTCTGCGTCTTGACGGCGGTCGTGCCGGACAAGGACCAGCTGATGGATCAGTGCCGGATGTATGTTTCAATGCTTTAACGTTTCCTCGCTAATTCTGTTGTAGAGCAGACTACAGAAAAAGCACCGGCCCAAACACCCAGTTTTGATCAAGCGGTCGTTCTTGCACAGATGAATAAAACCAATATGTTCGGGGACGCACGCCTTGCGCTGTGCCTTGGACTGATCAGGGGCCCCCAGCCTGCCCCTCTCGTATAACAATGCCTGAGCAGTGTAAACCAAGCAAAACCGGTTCAAAACAATGGAGGGCTGATTTAAGAGATCCTTCCTATTACTTACCTTTTTACCATTATATGTATATATATATATATATGTATATATATATATATATGGTACCCCCCCAAAACCCACGCTTCGCTGTCAGGTACTCTCGACTTGCCCAACTTCATCGGGGCATGGATGCAGTTGCAATAACGCTCAGGGTCTTTCAGGGCTTCTCAAATTTGAGGGATTCGCGACGCGACATGTAAGTATCTGATGCTCAAAGGGCCTCCCTGTGACGGATACTTCAGCGGATTTGCGGATTCGCAGATTCGCAGATTCGCATATTCGCAGATTCGCGGATTCGCGTATTCGCAGATTCACAGATTCGCAGATTCGCAGATTCGCGGATTCGCAGATTCGCAGATTCGCAGATTCGCGGATTCGCAGATTCCCAGATTGTATATGCGCCACAATCTATGGTCTGTCAAATCTGCGAATCTGCGAATCTGCAACATATTATCAAAAACTATATTTTTGTATATGTTTCATATGCGAAGGTGTTCACACTCGTGTGCAAACATCACGTGTACTCATGCAAACATCATTCGCGTAGCCGCTGAAAGATCAAACCTTAGCTATCTATCGTCCTTTTCCCGCCATGGACGTGGACAACATTCACTTCGCGCAGGCAAAAGAGGCCACGGAGCAAATGGTGCTCCGCGAGCTTCATGAGCATGTGTGTGTTGGTCCTAGGCCACTTGGTGCTGTCAACATCGTGAATCTTCCTATCCGCGAGCCGCTCGTACATGACAAGAACATTCGTGGTTAGTTGAAACCATAGCATAAATTTAAATCTTATAGTATTTGGTTCGTTTTGAAATTGGCGCTACATTTCGTTGTATACCAAGGTTCTCATCGCCAGCCCAGCTCATGACGCACTTCCCCGATGTTTCTCATGATGTTACGAAAACCGATCTGGACATCGACAATCTCAAGGGCATTTTCAAGAAGAAGACATGTTTGCATTGTGCATTGTCTCGTTGAGACGGTGGGACCTCTGCTGCGAAAGGACATGAAAAGAACGCGTGCTATCGTATTGTGTATAAGCTCATGATGCAGTATAGTTCTGTAAGGGGTTGTCGCGCGCGCGCGCGGGGGTGGGGTGGGATTAAGACGTGTTGCGTGTGTACTAGTTTTATCCCACAGCGACTCGACTGCATTAGTCCGGCTCAAGCATGTCTCCACTGGCCGAGAAAAAGAAACATAAAAGACAGGTCTATTATACTTTAAGAGTTTCCTTGTTCGCTGTAGTAGTTCTAGTGAAAGTTGTTAGGTTTGGAGTCATGATTGACCACGGCCGAAGACGTAGCAAGTTTCCTTTGTTGCTGTCCTGGTCCTAAGGAGGCTGTTAGGCCGTTAGATTTGGAGCCATGACTTACCATGGTCGAAGACGTAGCAGGTCTGCCAGACGGACTACCACTTTGAGTGAAGTATCTACGCTGCCTCCCTATCGGTTCTCGTGGAATGTTTCGATTATCTTCTATGTCTACGGCATACAGTTCCGTGGCAGAGGCGAGCGTGAGAACTACAACTACAGGATGGATTGCTGCGACATTAACGACCCAGATAGAGATCCAAGTCTCAATGGTCACGCTGGGTTCCATGATTCCATGCTCAAGAGGACATATCGTCATGTGCGGTGCAAGGACCTGATAGGCGACTTCCTATGGTGGATTATGATGCGTCCAGAGGGTACAAGTAGTCTGCATGTGGGCTTCTACTGCGTCCGCGGCCGGCACAGGAGCACTGCGATGGCATGGATACTAACCCTTATGACCCAAGCGCTCGGATGCCAAAGTGTATATATTGTGTACATGGAGCGGCAAGCAGGTAACTGGTCTCGCTTGTGTACAGTTTGTGACAGCTGTGCATGGTCCCTTGACGCAAAAGCCGAGTTCGCAGAGAAAGTAGAAGGTGACACTCGGAGCTTGGTCAAGTCGTTCCGACGAAGTCTCACCTGACAGTTTTGCTGCAGTCTCACTTGACAGTTTTGCTCTCCGTGCAAATGACCGGCCTTTGGAGACAGCTTTTCTGACGAAAGTGCTTTAACTACACTAGTTACTTGCTAACTTCTCTACACAACTCAGGCGAACGGATGCAGAGAAACTTGGAGTTATTAGAACAGGGCAGACAACAAAGCAATACTTCGCTAGATTATCTTAGATATATTGTGTTCTGCGTAATTCCTAATAGCAATTGTACTAGTACTGTATCAAATTGTCTAAAATTTTATAAGAGTATTTACATTTCTTGCTCCAGGGCAGACAACAAAACAATACTTCACTAGATTATCTTGGTTATATTGTGTTTTGGTAATTCCTAACATTAATTGCAGTAATGCTGTATCAAATTGGTCAAATATTTATCATAATATTTATAATTCTAGTTATTAAGCAGATAACAACAACATTTCACTAGATTATCTTGTCTACACCGTATTTTGCACACGCGTGGATAGCACATGTAGGAATGCTGGAGTGAATTATCAGGATCTTTTACTAGTTCTTGCGGGTCTTAGGGGGGGGGTAGCATATATATATATATATATATGTATGTATGTATGTATGTATGTATATTCTAGCGCGGTGTTCTTGAGTTAACCTCCTTGTCTTTTGGGATTTGAAAATATAGGCCCTGAAATTAGGAAGGTTTTTGGCCCTTTGCCTTTGAAGTCAGGGGGTTATATTTTATTTGTCAAGAGCGCGGATTGGCGCACGTAGGATCATCTGTGTTGGTACATGGGTGAATCAGTTTGCCACAGCTGTGAAGAAAGAGAGTGATGTGCCTTATGCAGTTCCTCGCTGCGGCCCGCGATCCATTCGAGAAGAACTGCATTGTTCCCAGTCCGCACGGCTCCATGAACACCGACATGGCCGATGGTGACTTGGCCTGTGTGCTCGCAGAGTCCTGCTGCAGTTACAGCCTGCAGTTGTGCATGGTGAGATGCACATGCGCCACGGGTATCAGGTGACATGGACGGCGATGACAACGAACTGGCAAAGCAGAAAGCTATGGTGGAAGTCTTGGAGTTCAAAACGAAGTATGCCTTTTAAACGACGCTAGTGCACCAGAATCTCGTTTGGCAGGCGATCAGAGACGAGGCACTCACCGGCCTGAAGCAGGTGCAGACAAAGGGGCCCCCGGGTATTAGCCGCAGCTTTTTGACCGTAACTGTTTTGAGTTTTTGTATTGGTTGGGTGGACAACAAAGAACCGGCAAGTCTGACTTTAGGTCTGATGTTCCAGTGCTTCTCGCTGGCCCTGGAGACCCCTGCTGCTCGTGGGCTCGTGTCCAACATGGGCTTCCGGGCCGCGATGTTTGCGCTACGGAACAAGGAAAGCTTTTGAGTGTGACTTGCGTTGTGAAGGAGCGCCGCTTGTCACGCCAGGACGACGAGGTGGCTACCAAGACTGCCATTTCATGCAAGCCATTGCACACAAAGCACGTGGCTTTTGTGCTTGCGTGTAGGAATTGTTGGGGCTGGTGGGAAGCAGTGAGGTCACAGATTGTCCGAAAACGTGCCCGGTCTGGACTACCTGAGCCACTGCGAGGACGTGTGTAGGGAGCTTGGGGTCAAAATATCCAGGTGCCCACAGCCTACATGGTGGCCCTACGTATTGTTTTGCGCTGTCTCACTGTCCGCTTGTGCTCTTGCGGCCTGGCTTGGGGTCCACGTGCAGCAGCTGTCCGTACACCAGTTTGACACCACAGCGCTCTGCAATACGACAGGGGAAACTACGAAGCGGGTCGTTGCTGGGCATTCTTGCAGGGTTTGATAGGATTTACCATTGATTCTACTTGCATCTCGAGCCGACGTCAATCGTTGGGGTGGTCCGTGCAACGACATGGCGCTCATGGGGGCATCCGGGCAGTCGTGCCGCGATCCTGCGGGAGCTCCGTTTTTCGATCTTTTGCCCTGGTCGCACGCCACGAAAGATCGAAGGTCAAGCGGTAGGGAAGGAGGCTAGAAACGCCAGAGGAATAGAGGGGGGGTCAGAAAAGAGTCGGAAGGCATGAAAGCAGGTTCGGAGGTGAAAGCTTCTGACAACCACCCCCTTTTCTTAGGCCAAAAGCGTTTTACCTGCGTTCCGAAACCTCTGCAACCATAGACCCTGACTTTTTCAGACCTAAGGAGCCTGAATCTCCCAACATTGCAAGCCCGAGTCCTTAACCTTTTCCCAAGCAGCCTGACACCCTAAACCATACTGTTTTGTGTAAAGCCCTGGTCTTTGAAACCGAGCCTAAGCCCTAAACCCTCTAAACCGGAAACACGCTAGACCCCACAGCCTTTACACCCGAAAAGAACCGAGCCAAAGCCTGCTGCAGATTTGTCCAGCCGGTAGCCCCTGGAGCTTCGCTGCGGCGAACTGCTCGCAGCTTGCAGCAGATTTTTGCTTTGGGGGCTGTTTCAGGTACGGGACTCAAGGTTTCAGCATTTTGGGGGGTTTAGGGCTTAACGCGTGCAGGGGTTCGCTATAGGTTGTTTGGGGTGTAGGGGTTAGGGTTCAGGCTTGTTCTTCGTGCTCGCTTTATGAAGTCTTACAAGGGGGAGCACCGGGCCGACCATAAGACCTGGAGATCGATCATTACACGGGCACTTTTCGCCCTGTTGCAGAATGGCAGTAAGGTTTCAGCTTCAGGTTAAAGGCCCGGGGCTCAGGTTCAGGATTGAGGAGCTGGGGTTGAAGATTCCGGGTTTAACATTGCGGGCTTACGATTCAAAGCTTTGAGATGCTGTCCAATGTTCCCCCGCGATGGACACCTGTAGTTGGCCTCACCGCTGCCGCAAGCAGATGCTCGATTACTCCGCCAGATTTGCATCGTGCGTGCCGTGCTTAGTGCAGAGGCCCGCGTAACAAGCACTATCAGCAATATCACTCTTGGACACGACAAGTCCAGCATTACAGTCCCTGTGTGCTTGCACGTTGTTTCCGCCATCCAGCACAGGGCCACGCAATATCCATAGAAAAGCCATTGTCGGAGCTTCGGCTTCAATAATCAGAAGAAAACGATATTGACGCTCCAAACCCGAAGCCCTAAACCTTTAAACATCAGACCCGATCTACAAACCTTCAAACATAGCCAAGACAACTAACCCACCTTGACTGGGCCTCGCCGGAGTCTCATCCAAGGTCCTTGGGATCGCGGCAGTCCTGGAAGCTGTGGCCCGCCTTCGTGGCTGCAAGTGCTGGGCAGGGGGTTTCTCACATGTGTGTCGTAGAAATCAGAAAGAGTGTTGTTGACAAACAATTATCGATGAGCTTTTGCTGCCTTTCGGAAATTTTCCTATGGAGTTCCTGGTTTGATTTCTGTTTAAGGTTTACGAAATCAGGGCCCTTGGTTTGGGTTTTGAGGTTTTGGGCTCTCGGGGCTTGGCACGAGGAATGGAGTGGCAGGGGTCGATGGCTCGGGCATTTCAAGCATAGTTGGAGTTTAGGGTTTGAGGTTTGGGAGCATCAATGGGTTCGATCGCGCCTGGGGACTTCAGCAGGATCGCAAGCGCCGACACCCCTGATCTTATTGTGCCGCGAACATGTTTCGGCCTGCCCCGAAAGCAACCCCAAAAACCAAGAGCCTTAAAACGGTAGCTATCCCAGACCTGGGCATGTTGATTCAACACTAGATACGGCGAGTGCACATACATAAGGTGGTTATGCGGCTTCTTTGTGGGCCCTCAAGCTCTGGTTTGTTTCGTGGACGCGCAGACGTTGTGGCTCAACTGCTCACATTGCGGCCAGGCCTTGTTCGGGGTACTTTGCGGAACTTGCCGCGGCCATGGGTTCTGCCCTGTGCGGCCAGTATGAGGAGGTCCCCGTCGAGACTGTCTTGCGAATGGTAGGGCCCGTCAAATGCAACTGGGACAGCTTCGGGTTGGAGCTGTTTAGGAAGCACGAGGCTACGACGGGCTCGCTGAACCTGCACCGCTTCTCGCTCAGCGACATTCAAATGAGTGGGGCGGGTTGGGCTAATCTTGGTTTCGACGGCAAGCATTCTGTCGTCATCAAAGCTATCGTTGACGTGCACAAGGAGGAAGACGATGAAGCGCAAGTGATCGTGAAAGACATTGGCAGTGGGGAGATCAACTTATGCACCAATGAGTCTCGCTTTGAAGTGGCAGCGTGGGCCAAGATGTCTGAGAATAAGGAGGCCATCGAGCGAGGGATCTCTGAAAAGCTGGCCGAGATGATCAACCATCGGATCGCCGAGCACCTCACTGAGAGTGACAACGAGTCCTCCAAAACGGAGGACTGACGCAATGGGATTCGCGTCAGTGATGACTGACAGTTGCTTAATCTTGTTTGCTAATGAATCGAACGTGATCAGACCCTTCGCCAGGCAACGCTAGAAAATGCTCCGGGCAAGAGGATAGGCCTGACAGTGGTAGGTTGGTTGGGTGCCGCTCTCAAATGGGGGGGGGGGGTTTCAGAACGGGTTTAGGGCGTATATTTGGGCTTTTGTGAGTCAGCATGTAGAAGATTGACGAGAGCACATTCATGGCGCTTTCTCCGGCGATACTTGTAATCAGCGCGCCATTTCACACGAGGTGAAACCCCAATAAATGTTTAAATCCGAAGCTCGAATACCCTCCACGTGAATCCCTTGCAATTGTGGAGCCTGATGCAAGAACATATTGGGGCTCTTCGTATGGATCCTTCTCTCCTGAGGTTATAGGACCAGGGTTTCCTGATCTGGTTCCTGCATCTTTCCCTAAACCCCCAAGGTCTTGCTCGATGTGCCTCGCTACATCCACGACCTGCGAGGATGCGGCCGCGTGCGGCGTGAGTGCCCTGCTGGAGGGCTCTTAAGGTTTCGGAGTCTGGGGTGAGTTGTATTTTCTTCTTTTCTCAACTTGCTGCGCGGAATTTGGATGTGCCTGTGATGAGGACCTTGCTGCTTGAGCATGCTTCCGGTTCGAGGGGCAAAACCTCGAAAGCCCAAGCCCGAAAGCTCGAAGCCGTAAGCTTGAAACCCGAAACCCCAAGCCTCTTGACTGAAATTGCCAGTGTTGTAAGGGTGACACTCTACAGCTCCCAGAAGAGGCATTTGCTGCTACTTTGAAGTCCTTGTCTCCGTTTCTTCAAGCCTCGACGGCAGACTTGGGCGTTTAGATTTGCGAGTTGTCAGCAGATCCTGTAATGTGACGGCCTGAATAATTGCCAAAGCAATTCCCTGCGTTCGTTAGTGATGCATGCCATAGTTGTTAAGTCTCCTACCCTAAACCCTAAACCTCCGATGTGGGATAGCATGCCCTGAACCGTAAACCCCAAACCCCACTAACAACGTCCAATCCGGCCTCAACCATTCGAAGCCAGGAGAAAAAAGCTGAAACAAAAGGCTTGATGTAGGCTCCTTAATAAGTCGAATAGGGTTTTGGGGTATACCTTACTATAAGTATAAGAAGGAACCACTAAAATGCAGTAGCATTGGTAATCATTTCGGGCCCCTGCAGCCCTTCGGTCGCCCAAAAGCGATAGCCCCAACTTCGAAGCTTCAAGATGCCTCGAAACCCACAAGACCCTCAACTCCACAAGCCCAAGCACTAAGGCAGTAACCTCCTACACACTAAAACCCATGATGCCCCAAGCCAAGTCTTTGGGGTCCGACTGGCGAGCTGACTCGACGCCTCTCGAATGCTGTCGACTGGCGCTTAGGGTTGAGAGTTTAGCGTTTACGGCTCAGGGCGCGGGATTCTGGGATGATCGGAAACTCCAACCGCCCTGAATGAAGCCATTTACTTCAAAGCTAGGGAACAGACCCTAAAGCGTATGAAGGATGCCTCTATACTTTCAGATGTAAAGGTTATATATATATATATATATATATATATATCGATATCTATATATCTAGATATAGATATAGATATAGATGATATAGATATAGATATAGATATAGATATAGATAGGGTAATAATGGGGCCGTGGACGTTGTCGGGCTTGGGGTTTAGGGTTTAGGGCATCAGGGTGGATGCTGCGATAGCAATTTGTAGGCATGATGCTGATCGTTGGGAGTCTCGCACTGGGAACAGCGCCTCCAAGTTACTAGCATTGCTCCCAGAAGTCTGACCCTTTTGGCTTCTGGATTCTACTGGGGTCACTCCTATAGGGGAGTTTCCGAAAATAGGGGACCCATGTAGTAGCCTCAATATAGTAGGATCCTTATTAGAAGGACCCCAAAATACGGTACCCTTCCTTTTCGGAAACTCACATATGCCCTGCGAAGAGCTTCGCTTCTCCATGCGTGGCCAGCACCTTCTGAACTCATAACCAACGGGAACTTTGCTTCTTCATTCCCTGAGCAAGGCTCGCAAGGTACGATACATATCCAACACTGGCTGTTTGGCATTTGTATATGCAGACTCGATGGTGCAGTTCCATTTGAGAAGACCTGTCACGCGAAAGTAAAGCAGAGAGTCTATCTCGAGGCCTGGTCTGTGCCTTTCCCGCCAGGCACATGGTCTGACTTCAGTTGGGGTTTAGGGTTTTGGGGTGTTGGGGGTTAGGGATACAAGGACTTTGCTGTTGAGGTGACTGCTGAGATCATGGGGTTAAAGGGATTAGTTTGAGGCGTGGGATGGCTTGGGCATTTAAGGGTACATGGCTGGCAGTTTCTGGTGCATTGCTTGACGTCGTCGTCCTCGGCCTTTGTGGGAATCAGGATGTTTAGGATTGCATCCTGCAGGACGGTTCAAGGAGTTTTTCGCAAAGCAAGGTCCCAGACTATGCACACTTGCGGTTGTCTGCGTATTCGAATCGTCTTCACCCTTCCAGTGGAGCGGCGAAGTCTGAAAAGTTTAGGGCTTAGGGGATTCCTAAGCATTCAACTGTGTATGGAAGATGCTAAACCTTAAACCCCCCCAACCCTAACCCATAAACCCCAAACCCTCAACCTATACCCTTCAACAAATGGGAGTTCCCGAAACTGGGGGACCCTAATATAATACCCTAGATAGTAGGATCCTTATTATAGGGACCCCAAAATAAGGTACTCCTCATTTCGGAATCTCCCAAATCCAAGCTCGGCAAGGCGCCTGGTGTACCTGTGCTTGCCCACCGCGTCCTGTTCTCCCCCGGAAGTCGCTGCGGGTCCGGTTGCGCCATGGCGTACTAGGGAACAGCCTTGTCCTTTTTCATGCTTCCCCCAAAAGAATAAACAGACCGGCTAGTAGACCTTCTTAAACAATTCCTACTAAGGGATATAGGTATGGGGCTCTGTCGATTATTTCTAAAAGGACTAGGGAACCCTACACAGAATCAGGCTACTTGTCCAAGAGATTAGGGACACGCCATAACAAAACTTAACATTCCCTACACTGCATGCCTAAACTAGATAAAGAACAAGAGCCGAGCAACTTGCATGGTATCTCAGTACGTTTGGGAATTCTGGAGGAACAAGACCCTCAGCGCAAGCACCCTACGCCTAAGCCCAAGCACCCTGAACCCTAAACACCAAAACCCGAAAAACCTAAACCCTAGACCTTAAACCCTTAAATCCTAAACCCTAAACCCCAAAACCCAAAAAACCTAAACCCTAAACCCCCAAGGTGCTGTGGATGGCGTGGATCTTCGGAGCACGGCAGGTAGGGGATCCTTCCCCAAGCTGGCTCTCGAATCGGCTTAGGGTTTATCCAAGGGGAAAAGGAGGGACCCTTAATAAGGACCCCTAGGTATATACCATCAATATAGCTATTATATACCCATTATGTAGCCCATTATAGAGTAGGGGTCCCCATTAAGGGTCCCTCCTTTTCCCCTTTGAGTTTAAGGTTCTTGGGTTCAGGTTGTGGGGTGTGGGGTCAGGATCTAAGGTTTTAGTGAGGAGGGGTTTAGGGGTTTAGGGTGAAGGGGTTCAGGGTGCAGCTCGAGGGTCAGGGGTTACGGTTACGACTTTTGGGGTTTGGGCGGATGTGGACCAGAGGTTTGGGGTTGGGCAAGTTCTTTTTTGCAGAGGAGTGCCGCTGGCTTGATACGGCTTGGGTGGCAAAGTCTGGCACTGGGGTGCATGGGGTGGGGCGATGAAACGGTTTGGAGGTTTTTGCTTGTTTTCCTCAAGCTGTGATGATTGTAAAATGCAGAGTATCTTTCTTTGCCTGAGGGCAAGAATCGAGTGGCAAGTCTCTTGGTCTCATATTCCCTTGCAGTGGCTGCATAAGTAACTAGGGCCCTATATTACCAAGATCCTTGGCTGGAACGCTAAGTGCAGAGACGATGCATTCAGTGCGTGACTGTCTCTAAGAACCATGAAGCAAGGCCACCTAAACCCTAAACCAAACCCTAAACCCTAAACCCTAAACTCTAAACCCTAAACCCTGAACCCTAAACCTTAAACCCTAGAGCCTTTCAGTCCGATGCACTTCGTCCCGAAATTTCGCTCCGCATCATGAAACTGCCCGGGGTATTTCGGTGATCCGGACAGGGGTTTCCTAATTCAGAGTACTACGCACCCCTAAACCGTAAACCCTACTATAGAGGCCTAAAGAATTAGCGATACTATTTTGGGGGTTCCATTTTATAATTATAGCATAAGGGGCCCCAAAACCCTATTCTAATTGTTGAGGCCCCGACCTTACACACCCATCCAGAGAACTATGCACCCTGAACCCTAAACCCTCAATCCTACACCCCAATTCAGAGATCCCCTGGTAAACCTTCACTGCTCCCCCGCAGGCGCTAGAAAACTTGCACCTGGGCTGCTTGTGGAAGATCTGATTCAGTCACGCACGGTTTAGATTCAGGGTTTAGGGCTTTCTGATGGAAGGGTAGGTTGGGAGGAGGTAGATGGATAAATGTGTCTGGCTGGCTGGATGGATAGATAGGTGGATAGCTGGATGGTTCACTTTACCACCGCATTCGGTCCTTGTCCTTTGATTTTGGAACGTTGGATTGTGGGTCTACAGTTGGGAGTTTAGGGCCGAAGGTACGGAGTAGATTCGTAGGGTGTTTTCTGAAGCATCTACGCAGTTTTGAAAAGCCCTGTGCAGAGGGCGATGAACGTGAGTGCTCACTCAGTTCAGTTATGATGAAGAGGCCTCAATAATAAACGTAAGGTTTCGGGGCATATCATCAAGCAAGCATATTCGGGGCTTCAGGCGCAGACTATTACATACTGTTCAGACCCCCCCGAAGTGTGTCGCCTTTCAGTCTCCTTTAGCAACTTGTGCTGGCTTTCTTGGAAGGCTTTGGGGTCTTCAAGGTTCAGGGTGGTATTGGGTTCCCCATGGGGTGTGTAGTAGCTGAACAGCAAAGGCCGTCTCCGCGTCTTCTCCACGCCAATGCCTCCTTCGAGCGACGTCTGTGCCCTGGATGCGACAGTATTGGAGGATTCTGGAGACGTCTAAACCCTAAACCCTAAACCCTAAACCGCGAAAAGCTTTCTAAAAGGCCCTGCTTGGCTCAGGATACGGAGCTGCTCTTTGCTTTTAGCAGTATCTCACGCCGCGATGTCCAGGGCACCATTGGATCTGTTCATCATATAGGGTTCGGAACAGTAGGAAGCAGCATCTCGCGAATACATGTCCAATAGAATCATAGTCTATCCCCAAACCCTGTTTTGTCTATTGAGGCCCCTTTATCATGGCAACTTGCGGGCCGAATTGGGAAGGTTGACAACCATTTTCAGGACCCGCCCCTCCCCCCGCTATTTTTTCCGAAAGCCTTGAACCCAAACCCGACATTCGGGCACGAATTCCTTGCTCGGTCGTGCAGGCGCCGTTCATCAAACTTGCAATCCCAATACAGGGGAGGCGGCTGATACATTAAGTGTCTGCATTACGGTCTGTAGTTGCCTTTTGTTGCCTTTTTTCCCCGAGACTAGCCAAAGTGCCTTTCGGGCGAAGGAAGTCGAGTGGCGAAACCTCAAATCATATGCTATAGGGTCTCTACGACCACAGCGGCCTCAATAACTAAGTATCAGTTTCAGTAGTGATCTTACTCTTCGAACGTGTGGTGGTTTTGAAACCCAAGTCCACATTACCACGATTCTCGGTTTCGCATGACCGACGGCTGGGGGCAGGTTCGCAGTCGATGCAAGCATGGGATTAGCAGCACAGTCATTTCAACATGAACGCCTGTCGCTGAGTGAAGCCTTCTAGGACTGCCATCAAGAGTGGTTTGCCCAAGTTACCGATTCTTCATGGGCTAGTTGTACATATTCAAATTCTCAGCATCTATCATTATCATGAGCTGCACATGGGCCCCTCGCAAACGGCTGCGAGGGAAGACTTCCACGAGAGGTGGTGGGTCTTCTCTGAGTGCGTGCCCTTCGAAGCCCTGGCGGCGCCTTTGACGGTCGTAGACTTATCCCGGCTGGCGGGCACTAGCCCACACTTCCGAGCAAAGCCCTGGCCCCCGACTCGCCATCCCGTGGAGGTCTCTTTGTCATACTTGGGGTAGCATTTCACATTTTTTTGTACTTAAAACCCAATAAGGAATAACAACTGTACTTTTTTAGTCCTATCCCAACAATAAACAAGGTCAGAGACCTGTCGCCTGCATGTGACGAAGGAGGAGCTTCTGCCTTTGCTCGATCGCCTGGGGGGAAGATTGTGGGGCCCTGTGCACGTGCGTGCTGCCGCGACGGCCGTTGAATCTGCAGACATCTGCCGGCTACTCGAATGGGCTGAGGAGGATGCTCATCGTGCCGCCTGGATCCTGACAGCAGTGCTATCCGGCCGGTGGAAAGACATCGATTGCCGCAACTATGCCGTCCGCTCATTAGCTTCTGCCTTGGCCGCGCAGGTGTACTTTAGGCACTACGTGCCTTTGTCTACTGCGTGCGTTGTGTTGGAGATGAGCCGAGCGGGCCCACCAGAAGGCGACGAAGCGCTTAGCCAAGCAGGGATTGCTGACGTGTTGCTGTGTTTGCTGCAAAGTGGCCCCATCATCGCACAGGGAGTTGCGTTAGAAGCAATTCGCGAATATTGTGAGTGGGGCTGCGACCCACTCGGTGTCACACAGGTAGGTGAGGGTGCAGTGGTTCCTCTTGTCGTGTCAATTGCCCAGCATTGCAATGAGAGCAGATTGACGGCTTTAAGAGTGCTTGGCAGCTCGGTGAAAATCAGGCTGAGTTTCCTGAGGTTGTCTTTCCTGTGCTTGTGGATCTGTTGGGCCATGAATGTGATGACGTCAAAGAAGAGGCTACAAGTGCTCTTTGGTCCATTATGCACAACCGTGAAAGCTACGCTCTGAAGGCTTGTGAGCATGGCTGCATTCCGAGTCTGCTGACCCAAGTGCGCAACCAGAAGATCTTGCTTCAGCATCCGCTGTTTTGCTTGGAGTCCGTGCTCGCTCTGGCATGCATGCGGCCTGTTGCCGTCAAGTTGGGACTGCTTGAACTCTTGTTCGAGTGCCTTGAGGAAGAGCAAACCGGCTTCCATGCTGAAGTATTCCTGGAACTCTTGCAGACTTGTGCTGCCCACCTGCCACAGGGTTTGCAGCAGCTTACACGGATCCGCCGAACCTCTACTATTCGAAGGATCGTAGCCATAGCAAGGATTCCGGACCGTTCGGAAGGTGCACAGGCGAGGCAGCTGCTTCAGCTCCTTGCGCAAACGAATCCGCACATGACCGGATTGATTCGACAAGCAGGCCACCAGCTCTGAACCCTGAGTCCCGAGATTATGCGCGAAGAGGTTTTTGAGGTATATCATGGTTGAACTATCTAGGAGTGACTTGAGCAGCAAAGCATTACTGGTTTGGCTTCCGGGCCTTCTGGGGTTTTTCGTGGGGTTGGGGCATGTGCGAACACATGCTGCAGACAGGGGAGGCAGGCTTCTCACGGAAAAAGCGGCTGCCAAATGCGCTTTGATCCTCTCGATGTGGCCTCTGCACCACAAGCTTAGATCCCTCCACATTACCACGATTCTCGGTTTCGCATGACCGACGGCTGGGGGCAGGTTCGCAGTCGATGCAAGCATGGGATTAGCAGCACAGTCATTTCAACATGAACGCCTGTCGCTGAGTGAAGCCTTCTAGGACTGCCATCAAGATTGGTTTGCCCAAGTTACCGAATCTTCATGGGTTAGTGGTACATATTCAAATTCTCAGCAACTATCATTATCATGAGCTGCACATGGGCCCCTCGCAAACGGCTGCGAGGGAAGACTTCCACGAGAGGTGGTGGGTCCTCTCTGAGTGCCGTGCCCTTCGAAGCCCTGGCGGCGCCTTTGACGGTCGTAGACTTAGCCCGGCTGGCGGGCATTAGCCCACACTTCCGAGCAAAGCCCTGGCCCCGACTCGCCATCCCGTGGAGGTCTCTTTGTCATACTTGGGGTAACATTTCACATTTTTTTGTACTTAAAACCCAATAAGGAATAACAACTGTACTTTTTTAGTCCTATCCCAACAATGAACAAGGTCAGAGACCTGTCGCCTGCATGTGCCGAAGGAGGAGCTTCTGCCTTTGCTCGATCGCCTGGGGGGAAGATTGTGGGGCCCTGTGCACGTGCGTGCTGCCGCGACGGCCGTTGAATCTGCAGACATCTGCCGGCTACTCGAATGGGCTGAGGAGGATGCTCATCGTGCCGCCTGGATCCTGACAGCAGTGCAATCCGGCCGGTGGAAAGACATCGATTGCCGCAGCTATGCCGTCCGCTCATTAGCTTCTGCCTTGGCCGCGGAGGTGTACTCTAGGCACTACGTGCCTTTGTCCACTGCGTGGGTTGTGTTGGAGATGAGCCGAGCGGGCCCACCAGAAGGCGCCGAAGCGCTCAGCCAAGCAGGGATTGCTGACGTGTTGCTGTGTTTGCTGCAAAGTGGCCCCATCATCGCACAGGGAGTTGCGTTAGAAGCACTTCGCGAATATTGTGAGTGGGGCTGCGACCCACTCGGTGTCACACAGGTAGGTGAGGGTGCAGTGGTTCCTCTTGTCGTGTCAATTGCCCAGCATTGCAATGAGAGCAGATTGACGGCTTTAAGAGTGCTTGGCAGCTTCGGTGAAAATCACGCTGAGTTTCCTGAGGTTGTCTTTCCTGTGCTTGTGGATCTGTTGGGCCATGAATGTGATGACGTCAAAGAGGAGGCTACAAGTGCTCTTTGGTCCATTATGCAGAACCGTGAAAGCTACGCTCTGAAGGCTTGTGAGCATGGCTGCATTCCGAGTCTGTTGACCCAAGTGCGCAACCAGAAGATCTTGCTTCAGCATCCGCTGTTTTGCTTGGAGTCCGTGCTCGCTCTGGCATGCATGCGGCCTGTTGCCGTCAAGTTGGGACTGCTTGAACTCTTGTCCGAGTGCCTTGAGGAAGAGCAAACCGGCTTCCATGCTGAAGTAATCCGGGAACTCCTGCAGACTTGTGCTGCCCGCCTGCCACAGGCTTTGCAGCAACTTACACGGATCCGCCGAACCTCCACTATTCGAAGGATCGTAGCCATAGCAAGGATTCCGGACCGTTCGGAAGGTGCACAGGCGAGGCAGCTGCTTCAGCTCCTTGCGCAAACGAATCCGCACATGACCGGATTGATTCGACAAGCAGGCCACCAGCTCTGAACCCTGAGTCCCGAGATTATGCGCGAAGAGGTTTTTGAGGTATATCATGGTTGAACTATTTAGGAGTGACTTGAGCAGCAAAGCATTACTGGTTTGGCTTCCGGGCCTTCTGGGGTTTTTCGTGGGGTTGGGGCATGTGCGAACACATGCTGCAGACAGGGGAGGCAGGCTTCTCACGGAAAAAGCGGCTGCCAAATGCGCTTTGATCCTCTCGATGTGGCCTCTGCACCACAAGCTTAGATCCCAACCCTTTCACACGGCCTAAAGCCCAGAGCATAAGCCAACGCACAACCAAAGGCCTAGACCTGCAGCTGCAAACCCCCATGTTAAGACTATTCGGAATCTCGTCTTGTATTTCTTACAGCTTTATACGAGAGTACAACCCTGGTCCTTCAGCACCAAAACACCGAAAGCCCAGAACTCCAAGCCCTAAGCCCTGTGACCCTCAAACCAAAACCCTAAACCCTAAACCCTAAACAGACCAAAAGGAGCCCTTAAAAAAAAGAAACCCTAAACCCTAAACCCCCAGAACCTAACCCTGGAGCCCGGAGCCTCTCCCCAACGAGGCCGCGGAATCTGCCGCGGGACGCCTGGATTCACGTGCGCGTGCAGGCCAGGCCCTTCTTTGAAGCTTTGGGGGTTTGGGGCTCATGGTCTTGGGCTTCCGGGCTTTCATTGGGCTGAAGGGTTTTTGAGGCTTTAGAGTTTCTGGATCTTTTTTTTTAGGTGTTTTAGGGTTCAATATAGAGGCCTGACGAGCTACTACTAGTCTTGATATTGAAGTTCTAGTATAATTTCCCCCGTAGTCTTTAAAGCTCCGGTATTGGGAGTTTCTTGTGGCTCAGAACCCAAATCCAGGAGGCCCAAACCCTGGTGGGTTTAGGCGGGGCGAGGGGCTCTAGGGGGTGAGCCGAGGGTTTAGAGGTTTAGGGGTTTAGTGTCTGGAGGTTCAGGGGTTTAGGGTTGTGGGGATTTTAGGGTTTAGGATTTAGGGGTTGAGGGTTCAGGGTGCAGGGGTTTAGGGGTTTAAGGTCTAGGCGTTTAGTGTTGGCGCCTGTAGTGTTCTATGGACTGAAGAGTTTTACGCATTTTTCAATCCTCTTTTTTCGACACATGAATTCAAGAAAGGTGCAGGGACTCGAAGAGGAAGCATGATCAACAGTTTCGATGCTCTGTATGACACCCTTGATTGAAGCCTAAGCTGTCGGCTCTTGGGGGTGAAGTTACCTCGTCAGATGTCAGGCCAGAGGAGCAGGGGTTTCTTCTCGAAGGGTGGCTGTGTCGAGCGTTTTGGGGTAAAGTTGCACAGAGCTGCTCATGATCCCCGTCAGCGTGTTCTTGGGTTAAAGTTCACCTTCAACCGCTGGACTTCCACTGTAAACACGCATCCCTGCACCAGACACTAATAGGGAGTTTCCGAAAATGAGCGGTAGCTTATTTTGGGGTCCTTGTGATAAGGATCCTAGTATTTAGCGTACTATATTCGGGTCCCCTCGGAAACTCCCAATTAGACAGCCCTCAACCGATTTCTGTTGATGCCAGGGTCGCCTCGGGAACCTACTGCTGGACCTGGCCAATGCCATGGCAGTTGCTGTGCAGACGAACGCCCAAGGTGCTTTTTTAGGGTTTAGGGTTTTGGGGTTTTAGGGTTTAGGGCTTTAGGGTTTAGGGTTTTTCTCTCTGCAGTTTTGGTTGATTTTTGGTAGGGTGAAGCATCATGGGGATGAAGATGCGACGATTGTGATGCATGCGGTGATGAAGTGAGGGTGACGAAAGCGACGCTTACGGTCGTTACGGTAAATCTGATGACGTCTTTGCTGGAAGTCTGCAGACTTCTGCGAGGGGGGACCCAACAAGCCAAAACAGGTAAACTGCACAACCTGCTCCTCTCAAACTACACCCCCCCGAAACCCACCCTAAAACGCAAATCCAAACCCTAAATGTACGAAACCCTGCGCTCTAAGAGCACGAGAAAAAACCCTTGTGAAAACTCTTCACGGCCTTGTGTAGCGCCCTATAAGAAACGCCGACAGCCCTTTTCCAAGTGGTGAGGCCCCTATGTTGCACTCCCACGGCCCCCAAAGCCCTAATCCACACCCTAAACCCCCAAACCCCAAAAAACCCCTAAGCCCCAAACCACAAAGCCTAAACCCTAAACGTGCAGGGGTGGTCTTGAGCCGCGGGCACCACCTCTTCTCCCGACCGGGAGAGGTTCTCCCTGGTCTCTTGGGCGAGCTGCTGGAGGTGTGGGCAAGGGAGGAGGGAGTGGGGTTTCAGGGTTTTACGTGATAGGGTTCAGGGTAAAATACGAGTTCTGTACCAGTTTGGGGACGGTCAGGCTTTCTCAAAGTCTCGAAACGATCGATCCCCCAGACCCTAAACTTCAATGTCGAGACTTGAATGAGACAAAACTCACACCCGAAATCCTTGACCTTGAAGCCTAACTCGGAACCCTAACCCGGGACCCCAGACCCTACCCACCCAAAGAAACCCAAACTCCCCAATCAAGATCCAACTTCAAGTCCTCAGAATCACCTTATGAATCCATCTGGCCGCATACCAAGCAGGTGCCCCTGCCCGTCCCGGAGTCCATCCGCCGTGATGCGAATGTGGCCGCCCGGCAGCGGTTACGGCCTACTACTACAGGGGTCGGAGTCATAAGCAATGGTATCCCCCGACAGTCCCGATGGGTTCCAGGTTTTGTTTTTCGGGTCGAGGCTAGGCGTAGGAGCCCCAGTAGTACACTTTCAGACTTGCTTTTTCGGGGGCTCTCCATGCTGAACGTCTATCTGGAAAAAGGGTCTGATACCCTAACGACTCTATGCCCTCCTAAACCATCCTAAACCGTAAACCCTTATTATCAAGGTGATACTGGAGAACCTGGTCTCTTTGTTCCTTCACACAATCACAGCATAGTCTTTTTTCCCCACACAATATTGAGCCTGTGGGTTTAGGGTCTAGGGTACTCATAACATAGCAGCATAACCCGGCCGATGCAACTCCACTCTAAAAGAGCCAGAGAGATCGCGGAATAGAAGCTCTAAGCTTTGGGGCTGAGGGTTTAGGTCAGAGATGTACCGAGACTCTCAGGACTTCCACTGCTTTTGGGAGGGCCTTCGATGCTGGGGCTGAAGGGCCCAAGCCCGAAACCCTACAGCCGCAGCCCATGAGCTCAGGTAGCATCCCTTCGGAAGCTGCAGAGAACAGCTCAAGGCATCAGATAGGGTTCGTTCCGGCAGACGTTTCGGTAAGTATGTGTTGATTACCAGCAGGACCCGCAACAAGCTTGCCACAAAAGTACCTCTACTTTTGCTTGGAATGAGGTTCAGTTGCTGTTCGGGTCTGTTGGCCATGTCTGCTGCTAATCGGATCGAAACCATTCAGGGTTTCGGTCCAGCGAAGCACCTGAGCTGCATACCTAAACCGGAAGCCCGAAACCTTAAACTCTAAACTCTAAACCCTACACCAACCTTTAGCATCCCATCGAGTCTGTTTAAAAGTATAGGATTTCACTGGCTTTTGAAACCTTTACTCGACACCCCACCAGGTCACAGGTTCGGGTTCAGCCGATTACAATACAAGGCCCCCCTTTACTAAGCCTTTACAGCAACCCCTATAGTTGCCTTTATGACTTTATGGAGCCTTTGAAGAATCCTATTTTCACTGCCATGGCCTTGTTTGTAAATCCTGAAAGCTGCCTTTCTGGGTGCCACCTTTTCGCAGGCACGGGCGCGCCCAGCCAAACGGCTGGCGTCTCCGCCGCCACGGTATGGTCCCGAAGCTCTTTGGGAACTGGGGAGGTGGCGAGGCGGCAGTGGAACTTTTTTGAGGGCTTGCGAACATGGATGCTGCTACATCGGCCCCATGTTAGGGGCAGGTTTCTAGCTTGGGGTCTTCGGTTGCAGTGTCTTGTGTAACATCTCCTGGAGTCTTGGAGTCTGTGCTACACCGACACCTTAAAGGACTTAGCCCGAGATCAGGTTGCATGGGAGTAAAGCGATGCTGTGCCGGAAGGATTTGCTGGAAGTGATATCTGAAGTTTAGCTTCCTTGACGCTTCCCTTGAAGGCTATACAGAATCTTGAATATAACCTCGCCATAATCATACTAGAGCATACGCCCGGTTCTAAGTACGAGGGCCTTTCAATTCCCTTCAAGTTAGAAATTATGTATTTTTGTAGTCCCGATGATTCGTTACTGCATATATGTATATATATATATATATATATGGTCAGGCGTTACCCCCCCTCCTCCCCCCAATGGTATGGTCTGATAGGGGTGGGGGGGGGGGGGCTGGCGTGTGCGGCAAAGGGTTGGGGGCCGCTGGAGCTGCCACCGGATGGTGGGGTGGTGCTGGCGGCCAGGGCTCACGCGCAAGCCCTTCGCACGCAAGCCGTAAACCCTCCTTAACTTGTACTTAAAACGCTACACCCAACCCTAAACCCCACCTAACTGCAAGCTCTAAGCCTAAAGCAGAGCATACACCGCAAATCCTCCCTAAGCCCTTGTAAACTCGAAGCCTTATACCTTTAAACCCAATACTCAAAAGCTTAAGCTAAACCCTAAACCCCAAAACCCCACAACCACCCCACAGGGGGAAGAGGAACCCCACACCCCACACCACAGGGGAGGGGGAGGGCCCCACCCTATATCCAGACCATTGACCTTTGGGGGGGAGGGGGGGGCTGCGGAGCGCGTGACCATATAGATAGACCCCAAAGCTCAAATCTACCTATGAAGGCCCTGCAGCAGTCGGCATGGAGAGGGGCAATGGGGAGTCTTCTAAAGCTAGGGACCCCTTGGGTAGCGTTATCGTAAGAGTGACAGCCTCTACTGGGCACGCTAGACAGGGAACCCCAAGCCCGGACCCCAAACCCCAAAACCGCGCATTTTCACTCAGCGCCGCCCCAGCGTGGCAGGGCAGCTTCCTCAGCTCCAAGCTTACGTTGCCTCTTCGCCGGAGGCAGTGGAACGTGGGACACATAGCATTTAGCATACACGTCACAACTTGTTTTGTCTGCACTCTGCCGAAAGGGCATCCGTCTCTCTTTGTTTCCACACTCATCGGCCGTAGTCGTACACTCGCACCACTGACCCCAAACCCACAAAAGCCAAAGCCTGGAAGCTTGTCTTGAAACTCTTCATTCCTAAACCCTATGCCGCGAAACCCGGGATCCCCGAACCCTACAGCCCAGAATCCTCGGAGAGGAAAGTGCCTGCCAGGTTTCTCCAGACGGTTCTCTGGCCTTTGCTGAATCGGCTCCTGAGCTTTCTGGGTCTTTAGGGGTTAAGGGTTCAGGGTTGTTGAGAGTTTGTGGTTTCCGGGCCAAGTTGAAGGATTCATGATGTTTGGTCTCCGGACGACAGGTTAGGTTGTAGGAGCATCATTATGAACAAACCCTGAAAGACCCTTACGGAAGCTTTTCAAGCCCCTGATGCCCAAAAAACATAACTCCAACAAAGCCTTGACGCGTGTTTTGAGAGTTCAGGTCTTTGGAGTCTGGGCACCTACCAGAGCCGAGGGGCCTTGAGGGTTTCTGGGGCTGCGCCTGGCTTTTGAAACCCTCCTTGTTCTACTACATAACTTGGGTACGGCCCCCACTCAGTAATGGTTGAATAATATTCCTTATATAGATATATTAGGACCTGAATAGTAGCCCTATTATAGACTCTTTCTGTATGGGGCAGTACCTAATACATAACCTAAAAAGCTCCGCAGGGTGTACTTCTTTGACGTCTGAACCTCAAGCCCGGAGGCCTTGCGCCTTCTTGAGCTTTATCCGGAAAGCTCCTATATTCTATCCCAGTATATTCCTGTAGATTACAGGCTTTGGGATTGCGAGTTTGCGCGTTTGGGTCAGTCCTTCTCTGAGGACTGCATGTCCCCCTTTACCCACGCCGGCGCCGCGGCTCACGGTGCACCTCAGGGGTGGTGACACCATCCCAGCCCTTTCGCCGGACGCTGCAGGGCTTCCAGGGTCTCGGGACGTCAGGACGTAAAGCTGTTGCATTCCACGCAGGATGTCCGTATACAAGACAAGGATGCAGTGGCTGCCGTAACTAACAATATTATTGCTCTCTCATTCCCCCAGGCTTCTACTACGCCGTGACCGCAAATCCTATTCCACATGGTCCCGTAACCTCAAACACCTGAAAGAAGAGGACCATGCTCAACCTCCCTGTGCAATCTACGACCACATCATGAACTCTGGACGTTTCCAAGAGCTCGAGACGCTCGGGCTCAGGCTTGTTGTCTTCTTTTCATCTGCCCGACTGATGAGCGTGGAGGGTTTACGGGTTTATGTTAGTTGGGGTTTATATTCGGGAGTTTCGGTGAGTGTATGTAGGCTCTTTCGGGATGAGGGTGGTGGCATCAACACTCGATGTTATGTGAACTGACTTGACGCTAAAACTGAAGTAAAGCCGAGGCCGCAAAAAACCTGGAAACCCCAAATTGTAAACCTTGGGACAGAAACCCTTCGCTTCGGATCGGCTTCTTTCCGGTCCAAGCAAGATTTGAGCCTTTTGCTGCACTGGCTGAACATCTGTCGTTTCATTGTGCGCCATACTCTGACTGCTGAGGAACCAACATGGGTCAACCCTTACGAACAGCATCATGCATATTGCGCCGTTTCAGCAGCCTGCGAGGCCAAACTCTTAATTAACCTGCAACTAAACCCAAAATCCAAAACCCCTGGTCATGGTAATATAACTCCCGAACTTGAAACCCTTACTGTACCAAAGTCTTATCAACCGCCATAAAGAAACAGTAGTATAACACCCTAGGATTGTGGCCGAAGACGACCGGAATCCTTGCTTGGCACACCTTCGGACTAACTATGCGAAGATGTCCCGCGCCCAACATGGGTCCCTTCATGTTTAGGGGCAATAGCAGGGTTCTATAGGTTTCAGATACTCCGGAGGTTTCGTTTTTGCTGGGGTCACGTTCATATGATATCACCCAAGTGTTTCCGACGGCTTCGGGTTCCAGTTGGAAGGCCTGGAAATGGATTTCGGGTGTACGCCTTGGGGTTTAGAGGGCAGGCGTCCAAAAACTCAAAAACTCTAGACTCTGTGCTCTCAGCCCTACATGCTATCAGAGTGCCCCTGACGCTCAAATGCTCAACCCCAAACTCAAGAATCAGAGGGACGTTGGGAAATAGGAGTTTCAGAAGGTGGAGAGCGCTTCAACATGCCGTAGGTAGTAGTAGTAGTATCCTTACTACAAGTACCCCTAAACAAGGTACCCTCCCGACCTCCCTCCCTCCCTCCCTCATTCATCCTTCTGAACGCATCGAAGCGGGTCGTGAGTGGATCCAAGAAATCTCGAGGCATAGGCTTAAGGAGAAGGGCAGGAGTCCTAGACACTAAACCCAATCCTAAGCCCGAAACCCAAAATCCTGAAGCAATTCAGTCTCAGTGTCTGGGGATCCTTTCCGACCTACTCAAGGCAGCCCCAACGCCTACCCTGACCCCTAAACCCCCCTCAACCCTTCAACACCCCATTCCCCAAACCCTAAAGCCCTCAACCCCACACTCCTCAACCCTAAGCCCCTAAACGCTAAACGCAAGGCCTAGGCCACCCATCTTCGCAAGTGGGTGGCGCTTGAGCTCCTCCACCTCGACGGCGCAGAGCGACCGAATACGCCTGCTCGCCTCTCCACAGCCATGGAGACGGCAGCACCCACGTCGCAGAGCCTGTTCTCTTCGCGACCAGTAACTCCCCTGGGGCGCCGCCCCTGCCCCTGCCCCTGCCTGCATAGAAAAGCTTGAAGAAAAGAGAAAAACTGCCCTAAGGAATAGGTTCGGGTGGTCTGACCGCCTAAGACAGCATGGGGTGGGACAGAAAAAGAAATGTCCTCGACAATCGGGCTCCAGCGGCCAATCGTACGATGCACGTGAAAATGCACTGTCGCAAGATCTTTTCGCTTACGCGTAATTTTGTCGCAAACCCCAAACCCTAAACCCGAAACCCCAAATCCTCAACCCCAAACCCTAAACCTTAAACCCTCAGTCCGTACCCCCCCGCCCCCCAAAAAGCTGAAACCCCACAGCCCCACAACCAGGCTCACACGCGCTTGGGTTGGAGGCTCCTTCGAGGAGGCCTCAGAGGGGGATTTTAGGGTTTTAGGGTTTTAGTAGGGTTTTAGGGTTCAGGGTATGACTAGCGTTTTCGAGTTTAGTGTTTAGGGGTTTGGGGTTTAGTGTTTAGGGTTTAGGGTTTTTGGGGTGCAGTTTAGGACAACAGGAGCCTCCGCAGCTAATCACTATCGGGGTTTAGTGTTTTCGGGTTCAAGTTTTTGGGTTCGCCTGCTCTTGGTTCTGGAGGATTTGTTGAATAACACGGGCTTAGGGTTTTTAGGGGCTATAAGCCGGAACAGTACACGTGTGATGCTGAAACTCCCAGCTCTGGATCCCACCTCTTTCTTTCGAGGCCGGAACACCATGTAGGAGTTTCCGAAATTAAGGGCTACCTTATCGTGGGGGTCCTTAAAATGAGGATCCTACTATTTCGGGTGCTATATTAGGGTCCCCCATGTAGAAGCGATGTGGGTCTGGTCTCAATCAGGGTTCCCTTTACCTGCCGACCCTAAGCCCTATACCCTAAACCCTTCGACAGGATCAAGCAGGAGTTTATACACACATCCGAATCAGGATGTATGTAATGAATAATGGGAGTTTCATTAGAGCACTTTGGTGGGTATAAGTGGGCTTCCAAGTAGGCTAACTATAGTTATCACCCAAATTCATAACTGCCCATGAACCTCCACGTAAGGTCCTTACCCAGGGATCCCTGACCAAGCCATGGTCGGGGGTGGCCGAGGCGGTTTGCCGCCTGCTCTCTGCACGGAACCTGGTTTTTGCCACCAGCTCGCTCACAGGCGCGGGACGGGCTTTCAGCGCTGTTCACATAAATCTGGCTAACTCATAGGGGAATCAGCAGAGCGAAAGCCCTGACCAAGAAGATTCTGGACTTTGCAGTTTAACAGCGAAATTTCAATACTACATAGACTGACCTCAACAAGCACTTTGCGGGATTCAGGGGTTGGAACTTGTTGTTTTGAGGGGGATGAGATACTTTTTGAAATTCCCAAGGCTTCACTGTGGATCCAAGATCTCGATTGCGACAACTGCCAAATTTGAGGCAGGCCCTTTCAACTTAAGGAACCCCCAAGCCCTCAAACCCCAAAGCCCAGCACCCTCAACCCTGCACCTTACACATAATAGTAATATTAATAATATTAGTAATAATAACAGTCATAACAATAATAATAATAGTAATAATAGTAATAATAGTAATAATAGTGATAGTAATAATAATAACAATAATAATAATAACAACAATAATATTAATAATCATAATAATAGTAATAATACTAAGAATACTAAGAATACTACTACTACTACTACTACTACTACTACTACTACTACTCCTACTACTACTACTACTAATAATAATAATACTAATAATAATAGTAATAATAATAATAATACTAATACTAATAATAATAATATTAATAATAATAATACTAATAATATTAATAATAATAACAATAATAATAACAATAATAATAACAATAACAATAACAATAACAATAACAATAACAATAACAATAACAATAACAATAACAATAACAATAACAATAACAACAACAATAATAATAATAATAATAATAATAATAATAAAAATATTAATAATAATAATAGTAATAATAATGATAATAATAATAACGCCCCCGTGAGCCCCCCCAAGGAAACTTGGCCCTCGTCGGCCACGCGGAGAATGTCTTCGTTCCATTGCCCACGCCCATGATTTCACCAGGTGGAGGGTTTAGGGTTTAGGGTTTAGGGTTTTTGAAGAACCAGTCGTAGTGCATAGGTTTGTCTGCAACAGGTGGCACGCGAAGAGGAGGAATATGCTGCGGTTTAGGTGTTTAGGGTTAGGAGTTTAGGGGCTTGGGATTTAGGGTTGACTGGGGCCTCGATGCTGGGAAGTGTGGCTTGCACAGCATCCGCAGATGGTTCCGGGATCCTGTTCCGAATTCGGAAATCGGGCTTCGGGGGTCTGCGAGATAAGCCGCAATCCGAATCCGCACAACTAGACGGTTTGGGGTTGAAGCCGTACCCGTTTGGGGCTGGAATTTAGGGCGTCAGGGTTTTTGAGGAGTAGGGCGTCAGGGTTTTCGCAGTCGCATGTCTCGGATTCCTTTCATGTGGGTGCTGAACCAAGCCCTAAACCTGGAAACCCGTAGCGCCCTACAGAGTCTCTAGACCTTAGATCTCGAAGCCCTGAAACCCTCGATTTTTCCGGAGCCCTGAAGCCCTCGACTCGTCTGTCAGGCACCACGTCATTTGGCTTTGCTTTCGATGCACCCGGACGTGACTTTGAAGGGTTGTCACATCTGGGAGTTTCCGAAAATAGGGGACCCTAGCAAAGCACCCGAAGTACTAGGATCCTTATTATAAGGGCCCCCAAAATAAGGCACCCCTATTTTCGGAAACCCCCATCGGACCTCAGAGCTGCACGCTGAAGCCTCTGTTGTCGGGGTGGGGTGCAGTATCTGATGACAGACAGGTTCTTGGCTGAAGAATATGAAGTAAGGTTGTATTAGGGAGGCTGGTGAGTGTATGCACGGCTCCTTTGATGATTGGTGAGTCTGTGTTTGGGTTTTCATAGAATTGCAGTAAAAGCCACGACATGACGATCATATCGTAAAGACGCTCCAAAACCCCATTTTTATGATAATGCACCTGAGTGTAGCTGCCCGATATCTGAGCAAACCGAAACCCCACTATAAGGGCATTAATAATAATGAGAATAGGTTTGGGGTATATTGCTTCGCTCTAACCATAGTTAGCCCCCTGTATTGTGCCCCCCAGCCGCTGAGTCTTCGAGTCCAAGCAAGGCATACCTCGGCCAGCTCTGCTCAACGTTTTCCTCGGTCGGGGGGCCATGCTTTAGTTGCTTGTAGCTGCTCCAGGGATGCGTCCGTATGAGGGTCTCTGGGGTGCATGCGAGGCGAAACAGGGTGTCTACATTTCAGCATTGAGGTTATGGATTCAGGATCATGCCTGGCTTGGGGACTCAGCATGCTGTGTTTTTCCACATACTGGGACAAGGCCTGTTGACTGACTTCAAAACTCGCCAGGACAACAATAAGACCTAGGCTCGAATCTTGAAGCCTTAAATCCTAAACACTCAATCCTAAGCCCTGAAGTATTAACCCGAAAAGCATGAACCCTTGACTCTACGCCGTCTATATCAACGCCATACTTACCGACCTCCGCTCCCTGAGCCTCGCACTTCAAAACTCCGGCCCCAGAAGTTCAGAAACCATTGCCCTCAGCCAAAATGAACCATGGGTAGAAAATCTCAAATCGCCTAGACCAGCAAATCCCAGCGACTGTTACCAAATCCTCACGCCATTGGAGTGATCCCCAAATCTTGAATACCCTAAACCCTAAACCCCCCCAAATCCTCAGAATTCATCACGCAACGACCTTCAAGCCTCCTGGAAAGAAAGACAAACCTCGAAATCCTAAATCTCGCGAGGCCCTCCTTCGTGTTTTGGTGGCAAAGCCACCAAGAAGCCCAAGTCTCATCACTCAGGCCCTTCCTGGCTCCCTCACTCCCTGTTAAAGCCTAACCTGGACGGCGAGGCCCTGAAATTAAAGAAAAAGGCCCTCAACCGTTACAACACCCTAAATATCTGGCTGAGCCCCGCAACCCTCAAGGCCCTCCAAACCCCCGTGACCATCGATCTCCCTTGAAGGCAGGTTTGCTCACATCTTATCTGATTATTCAAGGGCCCCAAAACCCTAAACCCCTAAACCCTAAACCAAACCCTGGCTTAGCAGGTCACGGGCTTCCTTCCCAACATGGAGTATTTCGTCGCTGGGGCAGAGATACGATTTCCGAATGCTGGGCTGAAGGATCGGGGTTGGGATTCATGGATGTGGGGATTTAGTTTAGGGATTTCGGGATTTTTAGGGATGAGGGTTTTGGGTTTAAGGTTCCGGGTACTTCGTGCTTGGCTTTTTTTGGCTACGTGGTTCCTACCTCGTGCAAGGCTCCGAGGCTAGCCCCGAGCTGTGTCCTTGACAAGGAGTTGCGTTTAAGCTACCGTTGCCAGGGTACCTAGCAAACAGTTCTGCTTTGTTTCTTATCGCAGCTTCAGCAAATTTCCGGAACAAGGACCCAGTACGTCCTTAAATGCGGGTTATTCAGGGGTATTCTGAAGTAGAGTCCGTTCCAGAAGTTCCTTTTGCAGGCTAATGTTGATTGTAACAGGTACTGTGAAAGCAACCCCAACGCAGAGCAGACCCCCAGATGTGTTAGTACTAGTGATTTTTACTATGCTCAAAACTAGCTACTACAAGCCAATACGCTCTTACTGGGATTATAATGCTACAAACTTCCCACGCTTTGGGCTTCGGAGCGGCACGAAGGACGCGCGGGTTCTGGAATCTTTACGTGTGACTTACTCTTCTGAAACCTGCATAGACCCTCAAACCTTTACTTCCAAGGGCAAAAGGAGGGACCCTTACTAAGGACCCCGAGGTATATACCCTTAACATAGCTATTATATACCCATTATATAGCCCATTATAGGGTAGGGGTATGCAAGGGTTTCCGGAGTCTCATGCGAGGTGAACGACTCCGTTCCACTCCACGAGCTTGGAACCGGTTCCGGCAGTCTGCATGTGACGCAAGGACTCCTGGCCACGATAGCTGCAGCATGTGGAGCCGTTACCAGCCCTCAACCCTAAATAGTCGAACATTCCACTACCATAAACCCTAATCCCTAAACCCACGAAGCGTAGCCATTTTGGCTCAAGCCATTGGGGTCCGAGGGGAGTTGCCATAGATCAAAACCAAAGAATTCTTCCGCAGGATCTTCCAAATTTTATTGAAAGTGCCCAAGATTATGCAACCAAGCTCATCGCATAAACGGGTTGAAAGGGCCGCTCCGCTCCGCGTCCGAGTGCCAGGCCCACTCGAAATCGACGTCCAGGTTGCCCAGATGAAAAGGCTTCGCCCCACTCCGATGTCCTGCAGGCACAGTTTCAATCACAAGTTCGAGACCGACATCGAGGTTGCCGGCCAGAGCTGTGTGCCTTCAGTCTGGGATGATGGCTTCGTTCATCGTTCTCGTCTCGGGTGAGTTGGGGGCACTCACCAGTTTCGACTATGACTGGGGGCGAAGTGGAGTGTCCAATGGGCCCCGTGACAGATACCTCTCCGAGCTTGCCTCTTCCACGTCTACTGTGGTTTGGGAGAAGTGGAATGGCCGCTTTCGACGACGACAACCTCACTGCATACCTTAGGGAAGATTGTCCGAGATTACATAAATGGCCAGCGGTGCGGCAGATGTGCGGGGTGTGATCAAGCGTCTTCAAGATCCACTTCGACGACCATAAGGACTCCAGTGCCTTACTTTGGGGCCATGGAAAAGTGTCTCCTATGGGTTTCAACATGAGGGACATGAACGGCCATCATCACGCCCCAGGAGATACCTCATCTCCTTCCTGATGTACCTGAGGGTCGCTGGGCTGCCTGCGTAGGAGGCCGCGGCAACGGCATGTTCATAGCCAGGGGCCGTCTATCGACACAGCTTCGAGTTCGACCGGTCTGGAAAGTTTTTGCATGGTACAGTTTAATGCGATGACGTGGGTGGATATGTCGGGTATGAAGCTTGACGTCCCGGAGAACTCGCATGAGGACTTTGCTGACCGTCGAAGCTGCCAGTCAGTGCCGTCGTGGTCATACGGCTCGTCCACCTCCTCGGTTTCGGCTTTCACAACATGATGGTCGTGTCGTCGTCGGAGTGCTGGTCGTCGTCATCGTAGTGCCATGCGTCGGAATACATATACAGGGACAGGAGGAGTCGCAGTCGGGATCACATTTGAGGTGCAGCAGAGTGTGAATGTTTTCAAATCCCGACAACACCTAACTAAGGGCGAGGTCCAGGCTCTGCCGTTTTGGATTTCGATGGTGGATTTTCTGAGCCCTGGGCTGCCATACCTCTGGATTTACGAACCTTCTCCAGCTGTGGGGTTTGGGAATGCAGGGTTTAGAAGTTTGAGGATGTGGGGCTTGGAGTTTGGGTTGTAGGGCTTACTGTAAATTTAGGAGTGTTTGACTTGTCAGGAGTGCCAGCAGAGCGAACGAGAGATTATCCTCTGGACGCTTGGACGAAGTTACGCTGTAGCCGAGGTTCTATACTGAAAGACCGGGTTTCTCAGATTTTGGGCCACGTCATCTAGGTGTCCTTGCTTGATAAGCATGCCACTATGCAGTGCAATTCTTTTGCATCTCCCTGATATGTTCTGGATAGAAAGTGCTTTCTGAGTCAACCGCAATATGGCACTTAGGAGGATTCGAAGATTGTAGAGACCAGCGTAGAAGCCTCAAAGAACCTTGTGAAAACCGAGAGAAACTCGTAAAGAACCCTTAAGAAACACCAGGCTAGGAAGTTTCATGTTCAAGGCTTGAGTAGCTTCCTCGTGCACAGCGGGATCAGGATTTGTTCGCATCCTTGCAAGGCTTGTGAGTTACGAAAAGGCTGGCCAAGCTGGGCATCCGTGCCAAGTCACGATGGTTACAGTTAAAGTCAGAAGGAGTCCGGAGGTAGAACAGGCCCGAAACGCAAACCGACGAGGAAAACATTGAGATCTACCAGTGCTGATGCGCCAAGTGGTCCTGAAGGAATTGCAGCCCGGCGATCCGAAATTCCTGTTCGGTTTCGAATTCTGAGTGTCAGGCCTTTGGCTTTCGGACTAGGGTGCTTAGGGTTCAATGTCGCGGGATTCGGCCAGGTTTCGGGCATGGGGGTTTGACGTCGCCTGTTCGGCGGTTCCGATGCTTCAGTGCTCCCTCTCCAAGCACATGGGTATGTTTAGGTCCCCAAAATAATACAGCACCCCTATAAACGGAGTTTAAAAGGGATCCTGATTCAGAGAACTGCCCAGACTTTGCAAACCGGCCGTTCAGGGTTTTCTTATGCTTCCGGAGTTAAATACTGGATGCACAGCCACGAAAAGTCCACCAGAAAATACCGTATATCAGCCTTAAGTCTGAAAGCTTGGACCCTGTACGGTTCAGATTCTACATCCAAGACCTTGAGATGCGCCTACCTCCATAATGAACCGACCTTGAGCCCTAAGCTCACAAGCCCTCAAGCACTACAGCAGCTGAGGAACAACCCACCTTTCAGAGCAGGCCGAGGAGGTGGATGTCGAGGGGTTGCATGGGGTTGAGGCTTGCAGAGATCGGGATTATTCAGGGGTTCAGGGTTGATGTCTTGCCCGCGTTAGGCCTTTCAAGAAGGTGCTTTGAAAGCGACCAAGGTGTGTTGACAACTCGGCCTGCTCATTGATGTATGTTATTGGAGGCATGTGCTAGTGACTGTGAAGAAGCTCAAGAGCTCAAACCCGACCAGGTATAGAGCCTTGGATAACATAGGGCGGGTGCTGATGCCCTGATTGTTGCATTCCGCGCGATGTTGAACACTCAACACATCTGTGTCGCATAACACCACTGCAGTGCAAGATCACGGAAAACCCATATCTCCAGGCGTCCTGAGCCCCAAGCCCTAAACCGCTTCAGCATTAATCCCTAAAACCTAAGCGCCTGAAGGCTAACACCCGAAACAGCAATCTCTCTTAGCCTTCGATGAAGCTCCCCGTTGCCAGGGCCCTGCTCAAAAGCTTTGGAGTTCTCGGAAAAAGCGCCGCATTGCTATCGGGGGGTGCTGAGAGTATCAGCAGTATCATTCCCGAGGCTTCCTTGATGTAGTTGTTGTACCTCGAAGCCCTATGCTAATTATGAAGGACCCTATACTAGTTGCTTTGAGGCCTCTCGTGCGTGTGATCTGCACCCAAAGCTTCGGGTCTTAAATTTGACGGGGTTTAGGATTTAAAGCTTTAGGGCTTGGGGTTATTGAGGAGCTGAATCCGATTGCATCGGGTTTCTAGCTTTGTTTTGGCAGTCAGGGGAAGGGCTCAGCATGTTCAAGGCCACTTCGCTGTCCTGCGTTGCTCGTAGCACAAGCCGGGGGTGGTGTGCCGCAGCTTCTTCCATACAGCTTCAAGCCCCCATGCAGAATATAGCAGAATCTGGGTCTTTTGTAGGGCTAGGGTTGCAGTCGTAGACTGTGGTGGTTGTGGAAGAACGGAGCCCCAACCCTTAAAGCCTTAGACCAGGAGCCTCAATTGGGGTGCCTCCATACTCCCTGGCCCCGGAGCCTCGCACCTTACACCCTGAAAGCCCACCTTTGAACTAAACAAGCACCCTGTACCAGGTGCCCAGCTCTGGGTGCTTCGGGAGGCCCTAAAGTCCTAAAGGTCAAGAGTAATTTTTATTGCTAAGCCATAGCCCGACATGGGCGGCGTTCATCCCACATGCCTCTCCAACAAGGCCAGGGCTTCTCGTGTCCAGGGCTTGGGGGGTTCAGGGTTTTGAGGTTTCGGGATGCAGGGTCGGCGTGTGACCTGCGTAGTAGGGCTTTCGGGTTCAGGGTTTCGGGTTCAGGGGTTTGCACAAACCTTCTTGGAGGCTTCGAAATCTCGCATTCCAGAGGCCGACTTTGAATCCTCCATATCTTGACCCTCGAAATGTCACCCTAAATCCCAAACCCTAAACCCTAAACCTCAATTCGTCAAACGATAAACCCAGAAGCCTCCACAGCCATCTCTTGACAACCTTGACCTACTCCCGACGCGCAAAACCCAAAGCCCTAAGGACCCGACTTGGGCCCTGAGTACGTAACCGCTGGGAACATATCTAAGTTCGATTTCATATCCTAAACTAAACCTCAAATCCTAAGCCCGAAGCCGCCATGCTAGACTTTGTATATACCCCAAAAAACTAAGCTTCAAATCCGGAGCCCGGAGCCCTCGTTCAAAGCTCCCAGATGCTGGACTTCAGGAAGCAACAGAAGCCAAGCCCCAACTTCAGTGAACCACTCTGGGTTTTTGCAGCCGGCGGATTGGGGCTTCGGATCCCTTCTCGGTGTCCTTGTGGAGTATGGATCCTACGACTTCGGGCTTTCTGTTGCGGGGGATTTTTGTCTTCTGCCACTGATATGGTCTTATAGAGGCCCCAGAAATATCGGGCAACCTGCCTCGTGCATTTGAGAGTTTCATCTTTTCATATAAAGCAGGTCGCCCTCTCGATCTTACGTGGCACACTGATGCATCTGCTGCGAATGTCATTATTGAGAGAATCACAATAAACATGGCGGCTATGATAGAGCTCCCCCCTTATGAAGCTTTAGTAAGATAGCACTTAATTGCAACAAATGTCAATGTAGTAGCAATCAGCCGATATGTATCACGAGAAATGTAACATCGGTATTATCCGCAGCGACTGCTGCTCTGATGGCTGTTCCTACATCCGTTCTCCTACCCGAAACCCTCAGCCCGAAAACTACCCTGCTCGAAACATGAAGGAGCAGATCCTTGCCGACATCGCGCGCGAAGTCGCGGACAGCGCGCACGAGTGGTTGGGGAAAGGCGACATCTGCGGCTGAGGGGTACTGTAGGCGCCAACAAGCACAAGAGTCATGTCAGGATCCTACTTTTGCCTGAAAAGTGGTCGGATGAGTTCCTACACCGTGATCAGCACCGTTCCCACGAGCCTTCCTGTTCTTGTCATGACTGAGTCAGTGGCCATGGTTGGCTGTGATGATGAGGGCCTGATTCTGCAGAACCGATCTCCTGTTCAGGCTGTAACGACCATGAATGAGGCCTGTGATCCTCAACACATGGCCCGCCATAGTAGTTATCATCCGTGTATCTTCATCAAAAACCATGATCGGTTAATGTCCCTCTAAATCTTAGCAGCATCATGATTATCTGCATCATGTCGAGAGACTTCAGTCCTTCGCTGCCTGCTCCTGAGCAAGAAGCTTGAAAGCCGAGTTCGCTGAGACTCGGTCGACTTGCTGCCATCCTCGAGGAGGTCGTAACATAGATGCCTCAGTGGTCAGGACAGTTTAATGGGTATTGAGAGTGTTAGTCAGGATACCTCTACGTGAGCCCGAAACCCCGAACACAAAGCTTCTAAGAACATTCTGAACCTTCTAAGGCCCTTATTGAATCCTACTAGAACCGGAAGTAGCACCCCTAAACGAATCCTCTCAGAACTCCTTAAGGGCCCCTAGAAGCCCGCTCCCCTAAACCCAAAACCCGAAACCCACACTAGGCGTCCTGGCGGCCGAGCAGTACGTGCACACCGCGGAAGCAAGGCTGCCTGCCAACTTACAGGAGCTGCAGGGTCCGGGTTAAGGTTTATGGTTGGTAGGGTTGAGGTATAGGTCTAGGGGTTAGGGTTTGAGGGTATAGAGTGTAGGGGTTAGGCTCAGGGGTTGTGGGTTTAGGGCTGAGGGTTTAGGGTCCACACCAACACCCGGGGGTGCAGCAGGAGAGTGTTCATGCATCCGAAGTGATAACCCTCACGATGATTAATAAAGTGTACTTCTCTGTGGCAGATTTGCGGAACAGCCGGGAGCGCGGGGCCACGATCGCTCTGAACGTAAGAACCTCATAGTATGTGACCAGACTCGCTGGGGGAAAGCAATCCAACAAACCTAGAAGAACCCTTACAGAACACCCCAGCAAGAAGCACCACACCCAAGACCCTAAGCCCTAAACAGAGTTGGCACCTAAAACCCAAAGCTTATGTAACGCCGAAGAAATTCAAAACAAACACCCACCTTTGCGCGAGGAATTCAAGAGCACGGCAGAGTTCCGGCTCTGCACCCGCCTGGCGCGACTGCCGGCCTCCGACGAGCTCTCCGATCGAGGTGCGGCACCGTTGTTGGATGTTGTTGGATGTCTTCTGGATTCAATCTCTTTCTGTAAGGAGACACAGAGATAGAGATCTATTTAAGTATCTTTCGATCTATCTATCTATCGATCTATTGACCTATCTATTGGTCTGTCTATTGATCTATCTATCCGTGTCATGCATGCACAGCAGTCTTTTGTTCTGCGTATGTTTCTGTTGTGATTATGTGTATGTGTTTCCCAAACTCTCTTTGTTGAATGCAGGTTTGGGATCTGTAGGTTTCAGGATGTTGGGGCTGATTGGCCTTGAGGTTCAAGACTTTGGAGGTTTCGGGTACAGATCTCTTGGTTGTTCGCGGTTTAGGATTCAGGACGGTAGTGTATCAGCGGGTGTGGGAATTGTCCTTGGGCCTTGAATCGGCCAGGTGAACTTGACGGAGGAACCCTGGTTTGGGTGTGGAGTCCTGGGGCTACTGCGGATGCCAGCTCACTGCCTTGACCACTCGCGAAGATTCGAACTTGGGCAATCTCTGGGCTAGCCTAGCCAAAAAGAACACCCCGAAGCCCAAAGCTCAAAACACCAAAACCTACAAAGTAGCAAGCACGGCAAGTCTGCCCTAGGGGGCGCCACCCCCAGCGTTGCGCAGAGACCTGTGCAAAGAAATGCCGCTGGGTTGCAGGGGGTTTGCAGGGTTTACAGTAGGGTTTAGGGTTTAGAGTCAGCTGAGCCCTGGAGCTCCAGCCCTACACCTGGCATCGTCTCATGTATTTGAGGATGAGGAGTTAAGCATCGGAAGACTTTATACATGAAAACCGCGTACTTTATAAACCCTGTCTATGTGTATACACCTTTACACACGTACATACATTGCATGCATACGTACGTGCCTGCATACAG